CCAAACTGGAAAGGAAGAAATAAAACTCACTATCTGTGGATGACATGATTTTGTATATAGAAAACCCTTAAGACTTCACAGAAAAATGTTAGAATGAATTCAGTAAAATTGCAGGATACAAAGTCAATATACAAAGATCCATTGTGTTTCCATATACTAACAACAATCTATCACAAAAAGAAATCAAGGAAACAATCCCATTTACAATTACATAAAAAAAATAGAATAAGACACTGATGAAAGAAATCAGAGATGACACAATCAGGTGGGAAGATATTCTCTGCTCGTGGATTAGAAAAATTAATAATGCTTAAATGTCCACACAAGGGGTACCTGGTTGGCTCAGTTGGTTAAGAGTCTGCCTTTGGCTTAAGTCATCATCCCAGGATCCTGGGATTGGCTCCACACTGGGCTCCGCTCAGTGGGGCATCTGCTTGTCCCCCTCCCACTAGCCCTTCCCCTGCTCATGCTCACTCAAATAAAATTTAAAAAACAAAAAAACAAAACATCCATACTACTCAAAGCCATCTACAGATTCAATGCAACCCCTATCAAAATTCGAATGGCATTTTTCAAAGAAATAAATAATAGGAAAGTCTGTATGGAACCACAAAAGACTCTGAATAACCAAAGAAAACTCAAGAACAAAACTGGAGGCATCACACTCCCTGATTTCAAACTCTATTATAGAGCTACAGCAATCAAAACAGTATGATAATAGCATAAAAGCAGACAGATCAACAGAACACAGCAGAGAGCCCAGAAATAAACTCACAACATACATGGCCAATTAATCTATGACAAAAGAGGCAAAAACATTAATGGGTAAAGAACAGTTTCTTCAATAAATGGTGTTGGGAAAACTGAACAGCCACATGCAAAAGAATGAAACTTGACCACTATTTTACACCATACACAAAAATTAATGGATTAGAGAACTGAATGTGAGACCTGGAACCATAAAACTCCTAGAAGAAAATATTGGTGGTAAGCTCCTTTACACTGACCTTGGCAATGTTTTGAATCTGACTCCAAAAGCAAAGGCAATAAAGCAAAAATAAGCAAGTGGGTCTACACAAACTAAAAAGCCTGTGCACAGCAAAGGAAATCATCAACAAAGTGAAAACGCAGCCTACTGAATGGGAGAAAATATCTGCAATATGTGCATTTGGAATATTGAAATATTACTCAGCACCCCCCCCAAGTGGAATCTTCCCATTGCAGTATAATTCATGGACCTAGAACACATTATGTTAAGTGAAATAAATCAGAGAAAGACAAATACTGTATGATCTCACTTATATGCAGAATCTAAAAAAAAAATTTTTTTTTTTTTTTTCAAAACAAAATAAACAATAAAACCCAAGCTCACAGATACAGAGATAGAGAATCAACTGGTGGTTGCCAGAGGAGAAGGGTATAGAGGGTAAGTGAAATGGGTGAAGGGAGTCGAAAGGTACAAACTTCCGGTATTAAAATAAGTAAGTCACAGGGATGTAATGTACAGCATGGTGACTACAGTTAGTAATACTGTACTGAATATTTGAAAGTTGCTAAGAGAATCTTAAATATCCTCTTTTTTCATAAGAAAAAAAAGTATGTAACTATGTATGGTGATGGTAAGTAGACTTAGTGTGGTGATCATTTCACAGTGTACACAAATACTGAATCATTATATTGTACACCTGAAACTTTTAATTATGCCTCAATAAAATTTTAATTATTTAATTAAAATTTTGTATAATTATATAAATTAAAATTTAATAACATGATACATGCATATAAGGGTAGATATACAAGTATTAAATGTTATAGAAATACATTGAGACTATGAAAAAAAGTTCAACATATAGTCATCATAGTTGAAAAAAGATTACAAGCCATTAAATTCTCCTTTTAAAAGTAACAGGAGACCAACTCAAGATAGCTCGGAGAGAAAATAGAGTAAGAGTATTACTGGGATAATGGGACAAAATATGGGTAAGCTGCTGGGCCTCATACAGGAAATGGAAAGCTATTAGGATATTTTTTATATGCTTCATTCTACTTGGGCATTTTAATCATTTAATGAGCCAAGTGTACGTCGGCTATGACTAGATGACATCTTGTACTAGTGTGGTCTTAAGGGGCCCAAAGAGATGAGGTATATGAGAACTAGATAAACATCCCCACAGCAGGCTGCCTGGGTGGCTCACTGGGTTAAGCCTCTGCCTTCAGCTCAGGTCCTGATCTCAGGGTTCTGAGATCAAGTCCCACATCAGGCTCTCTGCTAGGCAGGGAGCCTGCCTCCTCCTCTCTCTCTCTCTACTTGTGATCTCTCTCTGTCAAATAAATAAAATCTTAAAAAAAAAAAAATCCCCACAGCACCTAATACAAGAATGTGGAAGGGAAACTTACTTTTTAATTTTTGGATAAAAGTTGTCTTCCTAGAAAATTAATACATATAAGCCAAATTTTAATAGCAGTTGTTTATTGGTATAAAATTATGAGGAACTTTATCTTCTTTTGTTTATAAATATTTTCTAAAATTTATCAAGTGTGTATTAATTTTATAAATTAAAAAATTTTAGAAGCTAAAACTATTAGGCCATTATGACATAATGCTACATAAGGGAAAACTGGATTAAAAATCCACAGTTTTGGGCGCCTGGGTGGCTCAGTGGGTTAAGCCACTGCCTTCGGCTCAGGTCATGATCTCGGGGTCCTGGGATCGAGCCCCGCATCGGGCTTTCTGCTCGGCGGGGAGCCTGCTTCCTCCTCTCTCTCT